TATTCTGATATTGTGACTTTTATTCATTAGCCTATAACAGAGGGGGGATTCCATGAGAAGGAAATACGGAGCGAACGCTAATTCATCGCTCCTGCTCTTTGTGAACTATCCAGAACTTTATTAACTCAATCATTTAATTTGCTGACAGGCTGCACATGAAGTGTCACAAATAGAGAAACGATCACTTACACTGCAGAGGTCACCAGCAGGGTTCAGATTCACTTTTTTTTAATTCACACAGCTAACACCTGTTCGAGGACTTTGAGGGAAGGCTAGTGAAAATATTAACCACGATTATTTATTCATTTTAGGAACAACATTTTTTACATTTAAATAAAACAGAGCAACACTTTCAAATCCACATTCCTGCTCATGAACAAATTCTGCATCAAGCATGATGCTCTGTCCTCCCGTCCCACAACACACACACACCACACACAACACACACACACACACACACACACACACACACACACACACACACACACACACACACCACACACACACACACACACACACACACACACACACACACACACAACAGTGCTTCACTCTAAACCCAGAGATATACCTCCAAGCCGTTTCAGGGGACCAGCTCTTTTTTTTGTCTTTTCCAGACATCAGACTTTTTTTTTTTTCTGCCGACGCATCTCTCTTTGGTTTTACTCTTCAACTCTGAGCTGCAACTGCAAAGGAAGGCGCTTCCCCAAAATGAGTGAGTGGCTGTTAGTCTCAGAAGTGCTTGATTTGATATGCAGCAGAGCTTTTCAGTCATATTGGTGTCAATCGTGTTTATTTAATCGCGGGAAGCGGAGACCCTGATCAGGATCATATTTCATTAACTGTGCAGCCCCTTGATACTTCTGTGGTTTGAATTTTTATAAAAGAATCTGACTTCTGATTCTGGCCCTTGGATCAGAGGTTTTTCCCTCCCTCGTTTAGACAAAGCAGCAGCTTTAATAGATCTGTACACTGGATTTCACACTGTGCAGCAGCAGCAGCACTGACAGCCCCAGGGGCACACTTCAATTAGAGACTCGGGTGAGTTTAAACACTGCAGATCTACTCTCCCTCAAAGGCGTTTGTCTCCCTCACTTGCTCTTTTCCCCTCCCCCCTCTCTCTCTCTCTTTCTCCATATCTCCGCTCGGCACTCACTCTCTCCGTTTTCTTCAAGTCCTGCTCTCTGTAATCAACCCAGTGCTAATGGCTTATTCTTTCTGCTCCAGCACCCACATTCCACTTGTTTATTTTCCCACACTCGTAAATCTGGGGGACGTGTCACAAAGCGCGACGATATTAGAGCAATAATCTCAGGTAATTATCAGATGCCCTCACTCACTCCTTCAGCTCCCGCCTCTCCTCCCCCCCTTCTTTAACTTCCAAAACACCTTTTTTGCTTGTTTTCACACCGACATTTTTTTGGCTGTAGAATGAAGACAGTCCGTGGGAAACTAAATAAGAATACTACTAATATTGAGAGAAAGAAAATCAGAATCAAAAGTTGAATACGAGAAGAAAAAAAAAAGGTGTACTTTTCATGGAAGTTATTGGCACTGCAAGGCTTTTATTTTGAAGAGTTTCATCCTTAAAGGAGGCCTTTTTTTGTGTTTTTTAAAAAGATTTCACTGCCACTTACCCACTCCTCCTGTATGAGGCTCGCCGCCTTGCTGGCCCGGGACAGATTTCGACACGCCAGGATCACATGGGCGCCGTGGAGAGCGAAAGTCCTGGCCGTCTCAAAGCCTGAAACACGATCATGAAAGACAGATAAGACAAGGACATGAAGTGAATAAAAGAATGAGAGCCAGCAGTGCTTCAAAAGATGATTTTTTTTTATTGAAGATAACTTTGATTCTCAGGGGTTTGAATCTAATGGTGGTGGTGGAGGGTGGGGGGGAAGGGGTTGGGGGGTGCAAGTTGAAATCCCCATCAATTTTCCATATAATTCCTTTCATTGAGAAGCCCAGTGGTCTGGTAGAGGGAGTTAATCATTTCTCTCTGAAGTGATGAAACTGATTGAATTATTACAATTATAGACTTCTTCCCTCGTCTTAGATCAAGTTTGGGGATCTGACCACAAGTTCTTAAAGAAGGTAGCTCTCCATGCGCCGGGTTAGAAGGAATGAGGTCGGCTGTTAATTATGTTGCTAATTAGCAGTTAATAATGAAAAACACGGCTCATAATAAAAGGGAACAATCGAAACAGACATGACATTCAAGCTGAACCTTGCACATCAAAAAAACCCTCCGATAAGGAATAATCCTCCGATGAAACGAGGGCCGCAGATACACAGAATTTATCAGCGGGGAGACTTCTTCATGGCTCCATCCAAATCATGTAGTCGCGATAAAAAGTGACAAAAAGTGAAGATAGAGGGAGGAGAAGTTCATTTCTTAAATTACAAGTCTAAATGGGTCGTTTCAGCCCATAGGTTGACTTCATTCACCAGATTAACTGTTTTTCCCTCTTTTTTATTTATATTTCCTTCAACGTTTACTATCCTTCAAAGCCTTGAGAAGTTCAACAGTGCCGAGTGAATCACATTTCTCATTCCCACATCTACAGTAAATACAAAACCCGGAGTCTGCTGCGCTGATTGACAAACCGACGGGCACAATAATTGATTTTGGCAAAAGACGGGTCTGAGAGGCATCAGAGTTTATCAGAGGGGTGGATTAATATGAACTGTAATTAGATTAGATGTCTTAATCTGATTTTCATTAAGAGCAAAACTGGGAGGCCCTAATTGTGAGGAGAGTGTTAAGGACTAATATCTATTAAAATTCAGAATTGGAGACAGATTCGAAAGCCCTCTCTGACAACTGAAGCATGGAATTAAATTATATGACACCTTATTAGGTGCAATGGAGGGAACTGCGGCTGCGAGAGCGCCGGATCATTTTACTCACAGGAAATGGAAATGAAAATAAGAAAAATGTGAAACAAGCAGGCTGGAGTAAACATGTGCTTGGAATTTTGAAGGCCGAAGCAGCCGGCTAAGAAAACAAATGTCATTAAATCTTCTTGGTGACAAACATTTGATAGTTTAATCTTCATAATTAAATTAAAAGTAATAACGTTTTCTAAAATGCAAAAGATTTATGGATGTCTAGTAGTGCATCTTATTCAATATTGGCATCTTATTCAATATTCATCTTATACAATCTTATTCATGGCCCCCTTCAAAGAGGGGGGCCCTGTTTTATGAGGACTTTTTTGCAATTGATTTTATTTATTTATTTGCATAGGGACAATGCAATTTAACATAATTTCAATACAAAGCATGAAACTGATGTGCTGCATAAAGAGTATATAGCTGTTGCTAATTTCCAACTCGTGTCCCCGGTTGGGCCTTTGTGTAAACAAACAGATTAAAATGTACAACATTCAGTTACATAAAACCCCAGAACACCACATGAAGATACATTCAAATACATGTACAGCAATACAAATATTATAAACCAGTTTAAAATAAAGTTTTAAGATACTATTTAAAAGTGGGTACAGCTTTGGCTTGCTTTGAGCATTTCACCTGTTTTGTTAAATATTTTAAGTCTGAGATTAATTTTATTTCAGGTGGTAATGTGTTCCAGAGTTTGCAGCCTTTGATGGAGAAGGCTGATTGACCAATCGTAGATCTACCATGTTGTATTCTACAGTTTCCATTCACAGTGCTTCTCGTTACCTTGTTTCCGTCCTGTCTTTGAACGCATCTGGAGAGAGGTTCAGGGGCCAGATTGTTGATACATTTGAAAACAAGTTTGAGGAAACATAAATGCATAAAGCTCTCAAAACTGAGCAGATTGTGTTTTTTAGTATGTGATTAATCTGATAATTATTTTTAGGATGAATTGATTTATCATTCTGGTCTGTAAAATGTCAGAATGTTTCTAAATGCTCATCACAGCTACAAGAGCCAAAAGTGATGCTCACAAACTGCTTATTCGTTCAAAAACATTATTTTTTTAAATGACAAATTTGGGGTGAGGATAGCCTAGCGGTAAAGACGGGTGCCCCATGTACAAAGGTAATAGTCCTCAGCGCATTGGCCGTGGGTTTGAATCCGTCCTCTCTCTCTCTCCACCAAACAACTCCTGTCTCTCTTAAGCTTTCCTACCTAATAAAAACAAAAGAATATCTTTAAAAATAAAAGAAAAAAAGACAACTTTAAAAGAAACAAACAGGAAATATTTCATATTATTGCTGAAAAAAAAAATCAACAGAACTATCAATTAATCTTCTAAATATGTCACTGTTGATTTTTTAACAGTTTTAAAATGACTGGTTAATTAATTAATTAATTGATTGATTGATTGATTGATTGATTGATTGCAGCGTTAACAGCAGATGAAAGTGAAGAGCAGCTATGAATTTAAACTTGATAAACAAAGGAATTTAAAACCATCAGCCATCATTTAAAATCTGTTCTTGCAGCCTTTATAAATTGGACATGGAGTGTTCGCTGCTGGAAAAAAAAAACAACAACAACAACAGGACACACTCACTTGTTGTGTGTACACACCATGAAAGTGAAATTAATCGACGCCAGTGTTTTCCATAATGGAGAACAAATTAGAATATGGCAGCAACAACGGCAGCAAACAGCCGAGCTATGTATTTCCAGTGACAAATAACAAGGGCTTGACATTAATTGTGAAATAACGAGAGTGGCGTCGCTGTAACAGAGACTCCCCGCCCTCGCGGCCATGTTACTGGTTGAGAAGGGCGGCGCTGAAATGAGTTCCTGGTCAGGTGTACAACAGTGAAAAGTGTTTCAGTAGTGTGCGTTGATGCTGGAACATGACGGGGGGTCAGACAGGGGGAGGGGAGGGGGGGTTCTTCAGCTCTGAGGGATCGACAGACGCCATGAGCTGTTTTACAACACGCACAAGGCCTGAGTATTATTCTTTTGCCTAATGAGACAACAAAGTTTTTTTTTGTTTTTTTTTAAAGATTTATTTTTGGGCTTTTTGTGCCTTTAATGGAGACATAGACAGTGGATAGAGTCGGAAATCAGAGAGAGAGAGAGGCAAACGACAAGCGGGAAATGAGCCACAGGCTGGATTTCGAACCTGGACCGCCCGCTTGGAAGACTATAGCCTCCGTACATGGGGTGCGCGCACTAACCACTGAGCCACCAGCGCCCCATGAGACAACAAAGTGTGAAAAAAAGACTTTGAATCTTTTGGCTGTGAGAACATTATCATATAAAAACACAATTCAGCTTCAAGTTAGAGCCGATGGTCGTGTGCTCGCTCGATGTCAACATTTACAACATCACAAAAAATACAGTAACAGGCTCAGTTATTGTTGAGAATGTGTTTTTACTGTAATGTAAAAAAAAAAAAAATGCATAAAAAATAGTGTAAAATGTCCATTAAGCAGTGAATGCTCTTCATGGTACATTAGGATCCTGGCCCTGCTGATATCCCCCCAATAATGAGTGTGATTTAGTGATTTCACGCTTTGTTTGTCCTCCCTTGGCCCACCGCCCCCCTCTCTGGAACCCCCCCCCATCCCCTTGTACACAGGTGTATTGGCTCAATGTAATGAGATCATTACCAGCCTCGTCAGTAAACGTGTTTATTTGGCAAACGGAGCCGCCTGCTCCTGCTCTCTCTCTTGATCTGCATCCAAAGAGGCATTTAACTAAAATAAGCTCCCTGGTACAATTGGGCAAACAGAAGTCAATTCAGATCATTACAAGACCTGTGGGTAAACATGTCGAGTTCCCACAATCCCCCCCACCCTTTTCACAGAGCTGAGTTTAGCTACACAGTTCATGAACAGACTTCCCAACAACTCAAACCAATGAATTATTGTGCCCATGCTAACTGTTATGCCCAACGTAAAAAAATATGTTGTTGTGTGTTATATTTCTGAAACAGTGAATAAATATGATTAATATGTGACTGTTAATTATTCTGTTTATGTCTGCACATCTCTGACTGGTTTCATTTGGTTCAATCAACCTGATTTATGCATCAAAATGTGTTCTAGTTGGGTAGATTTCACCAGATTTTGCACCTTTAAGAAAAAGCTAAAGACCCAGCTCTTTCATGAATACCTACTAACTTAATGATGATGGTCTCCATATTATTGATGATGATGATGGTAATGACGATGGTTTTTGTTTGATAACGATGACTTATAAGATGGTTTCTATACTGATTAGAGCTCTCAAGAACTGCCCTCAATGTTGTGCTTTGCCTCTGGTCACTTCCTGTCAGCACCTGTGTGTCCAATCAGACTCAAAGCTGATCGTTTGCTCTTACTGACATTGTTCCCTTTTTTCTAGATCCTTGCTTGTGTTGTTCTTACTCTCTGATGTACGTCGCTTTGGATAAAAGAGTCTGATAAGTGAATTGTAGAATTTAGGCTGATTTAGATTAAAATCAAGCTGCAGTCCCCATCCATCTGTTCCCATGATACACCGTCTAAATTCCATCACTTTAAGATCGAACCTCATCTTAAGAGACGAGTCTAACGTGGTGGACAATTTCTAATATCAGAAACTGTAAAGTAGTGTCACAATTCAGAGTATGAAATATAGGAACTATCAAATCTTCTCAAAGTTAATGGGATGGTCGGTATTCTTTCTGCTAGAACTCCACATCATCTTTATTTGTATAAAGGTCTGTATATGGGCACAGTCAATGCAGGGAAAAAGAAGGAAAAGCTGAAAAAAAAGTACAGAAAAACAAGTTTTATATTCACAAATAAAAATGGCATGAAGAACACA